TAAGTAAATATGATTCAAGTTACTGTGCTTCCCTCTTTATTGTTGAAAGAATAATTGTACACAGGTCTTCCTTCCTTCCCTCCTTCCTTCTCAAGTTTATCACAACAGCATGTTCCACCATCAGCCAGCCTGGATGGGAGGGATGTTTGGGGGAGAATGGATACATGTATATGTATGACTGAGTCCCTTCACTGTCCACCTGAAACTACCACAACATTGTTAATCAGCTATATGTCAATACAAAATAAAAAGTTTAAAGTTAAAAAAAATTTAAAACCTATTTTTCACATACATGTGTTCGTGTTTCCCCTCATTTTCTTGCCCCAAATGGTTTTGCCATCTCCGGCCTGTAACAGAAAAGCCTTGTTTCAGTCACAAGTAGCTGTTTGATAGCATTTCCCCTCCTCATGGGCTTCTGAGACCTTTTTCTTCCTTCTCACTGAACCTCAGGAATGGTGTCTAGGTAAGTGCCAAGCCAGAGAAGCAAGAAATATTTAAATTCCACTCTACAGGCAGTTTTTACTGTTGTTGAGAAAAGCTTCTTGTTGAAGAAATGTGGTCGATTTGTTAAGGTTGCCCTTTCTCCTGAAGTCCACCGTATTTAGGTTATTTATGCATTTTAAAAGGCATGTAAACACATTATACAAATGCATCACTTTGGAGTTATCCTCCATTTATCCAGAGAGCATTTGAAACTTAGTCAGCTACCCTGCAGAATTTCTCTATCACCAGGACAGGTGCTGAAAACTCCGCGCCTCCCTCCTATGAGAGAGCCACTGAGGTTTCCACAAGCTTCCTACTTAGAAGGTGAGACTAATAGGCATATTAGGTTTGCAGACTTACAGAAATTTTATTCATGAACTATTTCAACCATACAGAAAATAATATAACAGATCCCCGTGTACTCACCATCCATATTTAACAGATGTTAAAAGAGTTTTGCCATCCTAAAAATTTAACAACTAGACCTTAAAGCTGGTAGGTGTGATAGATAGTGCAAGCTGAGGAGAGGTTGGAGGCAGGCACCCTAACCAGGTAAGAAACTAAAAGAGGAGATAGAAAATTCTAAAACTAGACTCAAGGACTAGAGAAAACAAAAACATAATTGTCTGGGCCCACTTGGATCAGAGGTAAGTACCTCTCCTGCTTCATAGTAATAGGACAGTATGTTTTACTGATAACCCCAAACCATCAATAAAAGATGAGATTATATTCCACTCATGCTATTGCTAGAGAAGGAAAGCTAGTGGACAACCAACTTGAAAAACATTTGAGTAAATGTGAAAAGTTTAAAAATCAAGTTTGACACTCAAAGAGGGTAGACTTTCAGTTATGTGAAAATTTGACACATTTTTCTGGGGTTCTTGTGTTGAGAAGAGTGAAAGTTCTTTACTGGGAACATAGTTGTCTTTGAATTTGGGACATTTTTAAGGTTGTTTTTTTTTTTTTGCTCAAGAACCACATACGTGCAGAAAAGTACCTAAATCATAAGGGACGTGTTTTCATTGCATGAGCACACTCATGCTCGCATCATGAAACAACTTTCCAGGCACCCCTGAATCCCCCCGGTAACCCTTGAACTCTCCTCAGCCTTGATAACTTTCTGATTTCTAACATCTGAGCTTAGTTTTGATTTTGGAAATTTTGGGTATAATATGACCCAGATTAGGGAGGAAAAGCTGTCGTGATTCATGGCTCATAATTTGCTTTTCAGGGAAACATCCTGAGTATTTCCTTTATGCATGTGGATGCATCCATTCAAGTTCTGCAATCTAAGAGTCCTTCCCCCTGGGTGGTGCCTGGAGGTTATGATGATGGTGATGATGATGATGGTGATAACAATAATATTAATCTAAAAATACATTGATATTGAGCAAACTACTTCACCTCTCTGTGCCTCCACTTCCTCCTCTGTGTAGTGGTAATAATAACTATGCCTTCCTCACAGAGTTGAGTTGATCATTATAATGTAGACAAGTAAAGCACTTAGTATGGTGCCTACTACCTTGCAAGGGCTCTGGGTTTTGTGTGCGTTTCTGTGTGTGTGTGTGTGTGTCTCTGAGCCCTCATATTTCTGCCCTCAAAGACATTGAAGTAGGGATGAGAAAGGATGTTGAACTAGCTTTTATTTTTTAAATTTCATTTATTTTTTTAGCTGTGTCATACAGCTTGTGGGATCTCAGTTCTCTGACCAAGGATTGAACCTTGGCCACAACAGTGAAAGCCTGGAATCCTAACCACTAGGCAACCAGGGAACTTCCTGAACTAGCTTTTAAAAGCATACCTTTTGGGAATTCCCTGGTGGACCAGTGGCCAGGACTTGGTGCTTTCACTGTCAGGCCTGAGTTTAATCCCTGGTTGAGTGACTTCCCTGGTAGCTCAGATAGTAAAGCGTCTGCCTACAATGCGGGAGACCCGGGTTCAATCCCTGCATTGGGAAGATCTCCTGGAGAAGGAAATGGCAACCCACTTCAGTATTCTTGCCTGGAAAATCCCATGGACGCAGGAGCTTGGTAGGCTATAGTCAGTCCATGGGGTCACAAAGAGTTGGACATGACTGAGCGACTTCACTTTCACTTTGGGGAACTAGGATCCTGGAAGCTACAGGGCAAAGCAACCCCTAAACATATACCTTTTAAGGTGTTGTATTAAATGGTTTGAAAAGATTTATTGACTATAGAAATGATTACCTGCAAAGTTTCTATGTCCTCAAGGAAATATTGATATAATCAATCAACATTTATAAGATAGCCATATATGCACTAAAATGAGTAGGTAGTCAACCTTCAGAATTTGGATTAGATAAAAGGAATACTGTCCTAACTATGATGCCTGCCTCTCAAGTGTTAGACTAGAACCAAAGAATAGGAAGATTGACATCTTGTGCTGAAAGCTTTAAAGTGGCTGAATTCACATCTATTAATATCTTTGTAAGTTTTTTGTGTTTCTGCCTGAAAATGGACAAGATAATCTTTTACATTTTATGATACAATTAAGTTTCTTATACTCAAAATATAAATGTCTTTGAAGGGAAAAGGCAGCAGCTCCTGCTTCTACTTCTTTTCTGGAATTAAGAAATTTATGTGACCCATTGCTAATATAATGGAACCCATTTTCCAAGAGAGTATTCTTTAAACTTTTTCAACCTGCCATACATTTCCAGATATTTAAATTTTCCCTGAAATCAACATAAGGAGTGGGATGAGGGTAGGTTGGGGCAGGATACTGCCTTCCAAACACGATTAATTGTATGCTGGATAGGATGGCCATATAATCTATTGATTAAGCCAGGACACTAAGAAAAAGCTTTTCAGGAATCTTTTTGCTGAATTTTACTCTACATGCAGAAAAGCATATGTATAAATGTATAGCTTAATGCATCTTCCCTTAGTGATTGATTATCTGTGTAACCAGCACCTAGGTTGAAAATCAGATTATTAGCAGGAACCCAGAAATCCCTCGTGCATTCCTTTCCAGTTGCTATACCCCTTCTTCACAAGGGCAACCACTATCGTGACTTTTCTATTTTTTTAGTCTTTTATTTATTTATTTATTTTAAAAAAGTATCTGGCAATTAATTAATTAGGTTTTGGCCACCTGGGGTCTTAGTTCCCTGACCAGGAATCAAACCCATGTCCCTTGCATTGGAAGCATGGAGTCTTAACCACTGGATTGCCAAGGAAGTTCCTGTCTTGATTTTTCTTATTGCAAAGATGAGTGTTGCCTATTTTTATATTTCGTATCAATTGAATCATACAGTGTATATTTGCTTACATCTAGTTTCTTGGCATTGACATTATAGATTGATTGTATCATTGGGTGAAGTTCTAGTTTTAGATCATTCATGCCATGGTATGAATATATCACAATTTATTTATTCAGTCTCTTAATGATCAACATTTGGGAATTTCCCAGGTTTTGGCCACAACAAATAGTGCTATACTACTACTCTTAATACATGTCTTTTGGTGAACATATGTATATGTTTCTTTGGGGCGTATGCCCAGGAGTAGAATTAATAAATCATAATGGCTCAGTGGTAAGAATCCACCTGTCAATGCAGGAGACATGGGTTTGATCCCTGGGCTGGGAAGAGTCCCTGGAGAAAGAAATGGCAACCTACTCCAGTATTGTTGCCTGGAAAATCCTATGGACAGGGGAGCCTGGTGGGCTACCATCCTTGGGGTTGCAAAAGAGTTAGACATGACTTAGCAACTAAATAACAACAAAGGGTATGCATAAGTTTAGCTTAATAGATACTGCCAGTTTTCCACAGTGTTTGTTCTCATTTAAACTCTTAGCAGCAGAGCGTGAGAGTTCTTGTTGTTTCATAGCCTCTCCAGTACTCAGTATTTCCCGTGTTCAGCCATTCAGACATGTGATTGAGGTATTCTCATTTCTCTGTTGACCAATTAAGTTGATATCTTTATTATGTTTACCAGTCACTTGGATATACTCCTTTATGAAATACTTAGATATACTTTCGTCTATTTAAATCTTTGTGCTTATTTTTTTCTATTCTTTAGCCGGTCTTTTTCTTGTCAAATTAAGGTACTTATATGAAAAAACCAGACCATAAGATTAAGAATTTAGTTTTGAACATGTTGAGTTTGAGATATTTGAGAGGCATCTACGTGGAGATGTCAAGAAGCCATTGGAATTATGTAGGTCTGGAGTTCAGAAGAAAGTTCTGGGCTGGAGATGAGAATTTTGGAGTCCCAACCATGGAGGTAGCATTTTAGTGAGAGGCTAATGAGATCACCCACAGAGAGAGGAAAAAATCCTAAGACTGAGCCTGAGAGGCATCAAGGTTCATTCGTAAGCTGGGAGTAAAGAAGATGCCAGCAGAGAGCTGAAGAAGGAACCACTGAGAGGCAGGGAAGAGAGGAGAAGCAGAAAAGGGTTTCATAGAAGGGAGTGTTCACTGTGTCAAAATGTTCATCACGTGTTGGTTAAAATAAGAGCAACACTGCATTCTGCCCCCTTTTTTCTCTCTTCAGCCATCATTGTATACAGACTGCCATGGACCTGGAAATGCAGTAAGCTCCTGATGAAATCCATCCATGCGGGGCTAAACACTGTTGCTGCCATTCTTGCAATTATTTCTCTGGTGGCTGTTTTTGATTTCCACAATGCCAAGAAGATCCCCAATATGTACAGTCTGCACAGCTGGGTTGGACTGACAGCTGTCATTCTCTACATCTTACAGGTCAGTATCTCAGTGTATTTCTAAACAAGATAAAGCAGTTCAGATACTGTTGATGTTTTCTGTTCATTCATAGTTTCTTGGAAATCATTTCATTTCCACTAGTCATCATTCGGTTTGTTTCCATTATAAGTATTTTCCCCGGAGGGGGCACCAGAATGCAGAACTCACTTATGAGCATGATTGTGAGGTTTTAAATATGGACATATGTATGTTGAGAAAGTGCCATCTCTTTATTTCTAGGCTGCCATCGTTTGCACTTTAAATTCCAAGTGCTGGATGAACTAGCACAGGCAAGAGCTCTATATTTCTTTCCCACATTCCCTGTCATTTCTATTTTCTAAGTTTATGAGTAAAGAGATGAATTTTTACATCTTTGTTAGATTTTGAAGGCTCAGTGATTATTTTATTTTCATTTCACTTATTAAATGTCTTTATTTATTAAAAACACATACTCTTGAGAGCACTATTTTTAAACATATTAATGGAGTGAGATAGGAATTTGGCTGTCCAAGGTCACAAAAGTAAAGGTTAATTTTTAAAGTTTTTGGTGTTAACCATTTTGTTGAAAAATCTTTGTAAACTGTGTCAATTCAGTTCCCTTCCTTAGTACATATATCCAACTCCTGATTGGGACATCATTGTGAACTTACTTTCCTGTGGATATAGGAGACGAAAAGGGAGTGAGTTTGTAAAACAACTGAAGCAATTTGCATGCATGCACATTTATTTTATTCTAATTGTTTCAAAGAACCAGCTTTTCATTTTATCTATAATTTCTTCTATTTTTTTTTTTAAAATTTATGGTTCTAATAGGCTAAATCACTCCCCTTCACAAAGATATCTACAACTTAATCCCTGCAACCTGTGAATACATTATGCTACACTTTAAATTCTAGTTGATTATTTTTCTTTTCACTTTCTGTATCTTCTAAATATACATGCATTTCTTATATAACAATAAAAAGCTTAAAGCAAAAACAAAGTTTCTTATACTAGATCTTTTAAGCTGGAATTTCTGAAAACCAATTTTTTTTTTTTTTTTAACATGTATTCCCCATCCCGGTCCCCCCTCCCACCCCCCTCTCCACCCAATCCCTCTGGGTCTTCCCAGTGCACCAGGCCCGAGCACTTGTCTCATGAACCCAACCTGGGCTGGTGAACTGTTTCACCTTAGATAATATACGTGTTTCGATGCTGTTCTCTTGAAACATCCCACCCTCGCCTTCTCCCAGAGTCCACAAGTCTGTTCTATACATAGGAGTCTCTTTTTCTGTTTTGCACATAGGGTTATCGTTACCATCTTTCTAAATTCCACATATATGTGTTAGTATACTGTAATGGTCTTTATCTTTCTGGCTTACTTCGCTCTGTATAATGGGCTCCAGTTTCATCCATCTCATTAGAACTGATTCAAATGAATTCTTTTTAATGGCTGAGTAATATTCCATGGTACCACAGCTTCCTCATCCATTCATCTGCTGATGGGCATCTAGGTTGCTTCCATGTCCTGGCTATTATAAACAGTGCTGCGATGAACATTGGGGTGCATGTGTCTCTTTCAGATCTGGTTTCCTCGGTGTGTATGCCCAGAAGTGGGATTGCTGGGTCATATGGCAGTTCTATTTCCAGCTTTTTAAGAAATCTCCACACTGTTTTCCATAGTGGCTGTACTAATTTGCATTCCCACCAACAGTGTAAGAGGGTTCCCTTTTCTCCACACCCTCTCCAGCATTTATTGCTTGTAGACTTTTGGATAGCAGCCATCCTGACTGGTGTGTAATGGTACCTCATTGTGGTTTTGATTTGCATTTCTCTGATAATGAGTGATGTTGAGCATCTTTTCATGTGTTTGTTAGCCATCTGTATGTCTTCTTTGGAGAAATGTCTGTTCAGTTCTTTGGCCCATTTCTTGATTGGGTCATTTATTTTTCTGGAGTTGAGCTGGAGGAGTTGCTTGTATATTTTTGAGATTAATCCTTTGTCTGTTGCTTCGTTTGCTATTATTTTCTCCCAATCTGAGGGCTGTCTTTTCACCTTGCTTATAGTTTCCTTTGTTGTGCAAAAGCTTTTAAGTTTCATTAGGTCCCATTTGTTTATTTTTGCTTTTATTTCTAAAATTCTGGGATGTGGGTCATAGAGGATCCTGCTGTGATTTATGTCGGAGAGTGTTTTGCCTATGTTCTCCTCTAGGAGGTTTATAGTTTCTGGTCTTACATTTAGATCTTTAATCCATTTTGAGTTTATTTTTGTGTATGGTGTTAGAAAGTGTTCTAGTTTCATTCTTTTACAGGTGGTTGACCAGTTTTCCCAGCACCACTTGTTAAAGAGGTTGTCTTTTTTCCATTGTATATCCTTGCCTCCTTTGTCAAAGATAAGGTGACCATAGGTTCGTGGATTTATCTCTGGGCTCTGAAAACCAATTTTATGCTGTGCTCTATATCTTAATATGTAGGATTAAGAAATATATAGGAATTAGCAAAAAAGAGAATATTTATTCTAAAGTTTATGGGTCTTACATAAAATGGTTCTCAGAGGAATATAGGCTTAAATGTGTTTGTTTATTGGAAAGAAAAACTTAAAATATATAAATGAAATATTCACTTGAGAAAATAAAAGATTGATTATATCTCAGTAAAACAAGAAGGGAAAAAAGAAAATAAAAAAGAACAGCAAAATATACAAGGAATAGTAAAGACCTCCCTCCCTCCCATCCAAAAAAAATCTGTGAACAATTATATTATTTTCTGTTGTTGCCATAACAATTTACCACAAACATGGGGCCTTAAAACAACACAAATATATTACCTCACAGTTTCTGTACATCAGAAATCCATGTTGGCTTGGCTGGTTTCTCTGTTCAGGGTCTCACAAGGCCAAAATCAAGGTGTTAGCTGGCCTGGGCTTTTATAGAAAGACCCTAGGGTAGAATCAACTTGCAAAATAGTTCAGGTTGTTGGCAGAGTCTAGTTCCTTGTGCTTGTAAGCCCGAGGTCCCAGTCTCTCACTGGCTATTAGCTCAGGGTTGTCCTTAGCTGCTCACTCTGTTCCTTGCACATGGCCCCCCTCCATCTCACTGGCTTGGAATCTCTCTGACTTCTCCCTCTTTCTCCTCTTCATCTCTTCTTCCTCCAGCCAAAGTTCTCTGCTTTTGAAAGGGTTTATGTGATTAGATTGGGCTGCCCATATAATCCAGGGTTTTCCCCCAATCAGAAGAAACCATAACCTTAATTACATAAGGAAAGTATCTTTTTCCTTGTAGCATAATGTATTCACAGCTTGCAGGGATTAAGTTGTAGACATCTTTGGGAAGGGGAATGATTTAGCCTATCAGAACCATAAATTTAAAAAAAAAATAGAAGAAATTATAGCTAAAATGAAAAGCTGGTTCTTTAAAACAAGTAGAATAAATGTGCATGCATGCAAATTGCTTCAGCTGTGTCCAACTCTTCACGACTATGGACTGTAGCCCACCAGGCTTCTCTGTCCATCGAGTTCTCCAGGCAGGAATACTGGAGTGGGTTGCCATGTCCTCCTCCAGGGGATCTTCCCAACCCAGGGATTGAACCCATATCTCCTACGTCTACTGCATTGGTAAGTGTGTTCTTTACCAGTAACACCACCTGGGAAGCCCAGGATAAAAATAGATAAACCACTGCAAATATGACTGAGAAAAAGCATAACATACACATTGTTCAGAATTTTAAAAATATAGTCACAGATACAAATAATATTTTAAAATTAGGACAGTTTATTAAATTTCAATAATATGGTAATATTATTAAAAATCTTAAAGAAAAAATGGTTATTTTCTTGCCAAGTATAAACTAACAATTTGACCCAAAAGGAATTAGAAAACCTAAGCAGACCAATGACATTATAAGCAATTGCTAAGGTCACTTGAAATCTGTCATTAAAAAAGACATTAGTTCCATATTGTTTTATACTTTGACCTACAAGGAACTAATACTTTAAACTGATCTAGTACACTGGGAGAAAACAAGCTCATCTTAGATGTGGCCCCATTGTGTACTGCATACTTCATCTCTAAGGAGGCAGCTTTAATAATAAATACCTTTAAACATCTAACAGCAAACATAAGCTTAAACTCTGAAATACTGAAGACATTTCCATTAAATAAATAAAACACTGATGTTTACAACCTTTGTATTCAATTTCATTTTAGAGGTTTTAGCTAATGTACAGCTAATGAAAAAAATACATATAAATAATAGAAAAGTTGTGACTTTTTTTTTCTGTTTGAAGATCATATGAATATCTGGAAATCCAAGAGATGACTAAATTATGAAAGAATTTGGAAAGGTATCTGGATAAAAGACAGCCAACAGAATCCAATAACTTTTCCCTGTACTAGAAATAACCACTTAGAATAGGAAGTAGAATCCTATAAATCTTACAGTGCAGTACTATAAAATTTTACTGAAAAATAGAAAATATGGTATGAAGAGAGGAATACCATGCTACTGAGAGAGAAAAATTAATATAGAAACATTCTTCCCTCTTCAACTGTATTTTTATTTATTATAATTTTAAACTCAATGGGAGTTTTAAACTGTATGCAAAAGAATAAGTACCCAAGGATAACCAAGAAAATTTTGAAGAAGTAGAGGGAGACCTGCTTTATTCAAAACAAGGTATTCCCACAGGAATAAACAAAGTATATTCATGGCAAGAACACAGAGGACAGACAGTATATATAATAACTTTTTCTATGACATTATAGTATTTTAATTTATCAGGGAAAGAATGCTTATTTAATCAATGTTAGCATCATAACTGGCTGTCCATTTGGGGGAAACCAAACAAAAAGACTATGTACATCACACAAAAGAAAAAAAAGATTCCAGATACAATAGATTAAAGATATGGATATAAAAAAATCCAAAATCAGACAAAAGAGAAAAAGAAAATTAAAAAGCATGTAATCTGTATAATACTGAGGTAGGGGAGGCTATAAGGTTGACAAGAAATCTAGAAACCAT